CCATCTTTTAAGATTTAACACATTGTTGCTATGCTTGATCTGAGCTACGCTTTAGTCAACATAAAAGTAAAACACTTGCTTATTTTTAAAGCTATTAGGCTATGCTATATTTTTGTTTACTATAAATGAAGTGACTTTTATTCTGATTTATTTGCACATACACAGGTAGGGATGAAGGTGGCTCTGCATAGCTTTATGGCTTTACTGTTTCAAAGTAGAACTAAATATGTTCGTTTTTTTACACTTCACTGTTGCTCTGTATTTCCGATGACAAAAGTTACAAAAACATAATATTTTTTTGGTTATTTTAAGACTATAACTTCATGCATACAAAAAACAGGAAAAATGAAAATGCTAGGCTTAAGTAACAAGTTATCATAACTAGCGCACTGCAGAGTAGCAACATATCGCGTATTGTTGATTAGACCGAATTATATTTATATACAATTATATATAAAGTACATTTATACCTCCATTAAAAGGCTCAGATGTATTTTTCAGCTTCACTCAGATTGTTTTGGTCAACAATTACTTAAAAATATCTGCTTTGATAATAAGGTCTGGACTGAGCTATATACAGTAGCCTCAGCAAAGTTTGACATGCTAAATGAAATGTTCCAAAATCTGTTAAAATAATATGAAACCGTAGACATGAAAAAGACTATTTCATTCATAAACAAAGAGCAGTTGAAAAAAGAATTCTATGGAGTTTTATATTTCCAGAAAAGTGAGGGATTTGCAGGAGATCGGTTTCATAACAATAATGGTCTAAACAAGGGGAAAGCAGAAAAATGTTGCATGAGTTTCTGTAATGCACTTCAAAGGTATCTTTTATTTCTGGTTCAAACATCAGATTCCCCAGTTTGTATGGCAGCTTTTCTGTTACTGTCTGAATTAGTATCCTTCAAAGGCATTCCAAAAATCACAATCACCCTTCTATTATCCTGGGAGTAGTAAATGAGCAAACAATGGGGAGATTTTAAAAACACAGTGAGACGAGGCAGAGACAACCTGAATCGCATCACTGTGACATCGTCTGGGTTATTTTCTGTGTCTGTGTGAAAAGAGTGGAAAATATTCATTCCTTCCAAGAAGCAAAGCAAACCTGCCTGTTAGCTCTGAGTGCATAATTGGCTTTAGTGTCAGTGATCTGGTTAGAGCCACGGATTTTATGGAGGCGAAGACAGTTTTGCACTGAAACTACTAAAATAAATACGTGCCTTAGGGTCAGACAGCTCATACTGTTAATAGGAGTTCAATGCTGTTTAATGACTATAGCTAACATTTGTTGGCTCAGTGTTTGACACACATTTAGTGCTTTAGTTTGAGAATCAGTGACAGCTGAAAGGCGAACACGTTGATGGCTTTGAGTGGAAAATGTATCCAACCGGTGTGCTTAGAATAATTATATGGAAAAAAGAAGCTGAGAGTGAGTTTTTCAGGAGTAAAGCTTCGTCGCTGAAATCATATTTGATCTGACTTATTGCATTAAAAACACCCTGCGTATATCCATTGCTGGATATATCTGGAGAAAAGTGGACCATTTCCAGGCTTATGATTCAAAGATGTGAACTGTGCCATTGCTCTTAGCTGGTGCCACATACAATCAGTATTTTAAAAGTGATGCTTTTACAATTACTGTATAGATGTGAGGGATTTTACAAGTTTCCAAAATATTTTTAAAAGCCTATTTTCTATTAAAATACTGAAAATATTTATATATACGCTTCATGGCCACGGTGCAATGGGTTTGTGTTTTTTTCTTCAGCTGCCTGGGCATAAGGACTCCTTGAGTTCATGGAAATAATACTTGCCAGACTCAACTGGGCTTAGCTTGGCCATTCTTATAAGGGTCTTTGAGGTTTTAAGTTACATTTGGAGGTCCAAACTTTACAAATCATGTGGTGCTTAAATTGAGGATTTAAAATGCCTAAAAAACAATGAGTTAAAAAGAAGAGAAATAAGCAACAATACCTTGGTTTACACTTGTTTTAGTGTACCATCAAACAGACAACATTCCTGTGTGCACTTTTGGCCAAAAGAGCTTACTTGTATTATTTTGGCGTTGGGCTTACCTTCTTTGGTTACACATGGGATATAGCAGCAGTTCTTTCAAAAAGACAGTTATAAAGAAACAAATGAGACATAAATTGCTATTTATTTTGTTAAAAGTTAATGCCTGAATTATCTACCCAATGTATAGGTCTTAATCATTAGTTTGTTTGTTTGTTTGTTTGTTTTTAAAAAGGAACAAATAAAGTTTTGATGACTATCATTATAAGTCACAAGACAAAAGACAGCAAGATCCATGCTGATGAATCATACATAATAAGTGGTTTATGATTTTCAACCATTTTCTTCCTGAGTGGTTCCTGGTTACCTCAGAACAGTCCGGTACAGGAAAGAGTTCCTCATTTATTAATAAATACTTCAAAATTAGTTACTGTTTTCAGACATCCCAAGCTGTCTTACAGGCTTGCTATTAAGCAATTCCTTACTTCATCGTCGTGATTACGTGACTTATATGTTCCCTCAAAGGGAAGAGGGGAATCATAATACTGAGCGCTCAATCGCAGCTTGCACTATAGTAACTAGTAATTTTGTGCACTTCACTATGAAGTGTTACTGATGTCTATATTAAACATGCAGAACTGCTGCTGTTGTCTTTTCCATCTTATTGTGATTAAGTGCTTTTCAGTTTTTGGAAAATGAGCTCACAAGCATGACACACAATCTATGAAGTAATGTGATTGCCCATTTTGGAGGAGCAGGTTTTGCACATGTGTCCATCATGTACTTTCTCATTTAACACTTTAGTTTGAGTCACAGTGAGACCATTGGGCTCTGAATCAGCTTTGCTCTGAATTTCACTGGATCCTCTGTCACCATGTTTCTACATTGTGGATTACACGCTGTAATTTTAAGGTAACAGGAGCTGCAGCTGTGTTCAGTTTTCTCAGCTTCACGTTTAGATGTGTGTGGCTCACAGACCACAGAACGCACACAGCCACAAGACTTTGTCTCAAATTCATGTCAAGAACACAAAACATGTCAGGGCAAATTTTAAGGTTGTGGGGAATTATTCTTATTTTTTAAATGATATGATCTATAAGAAGAATACTAAATCTGAAGAAAAGTTAGGAGGGCAGTCATACTGCAATTGCACAAATCTTTTGGAGAACTTTGCCCGATATGATTTTAATTATTGAACCTTGATAGAATCAAGTACCAGAGAAGCTCCAGAATTACAGTAATAACTTAAAGACGTGCATAATTTGCTAAATAATGAGTATTTACTACACTACTACACTGAGGACATTTTGTGCATTCTATTTTGAATTTCTGGTGACCTTTGTCAATTTATGCTGGAAAAAACATAGGTTATTAGGATAAGTTGGGTTTGTCTGTCCTTCCTTCTGAAATCCAGCCCTGTGCAAAAGCAAACGTTAAAGAAAGTTTTAAAAAAAAGTGAAGAAGTAAAAGATAAATAGCACTTTGATAGAAGTCTGGATCTGAACACAGGCCTCTGAGCGAGTTAAATAGTACCAGATCCAGCTTGTAAATAATCTTAAACAATTTGAAGTGGTTTTACAAATCCATAAACTGGACTTATATCTGCACCTGATGTTTGGAGAGCATTTATTGGAAAGATTAATCAACCTTAATCAAACCTTACCTATCAAAAAGGCTGAGGTATTTTTTTTAATCCGACAAGACATAAAAAGAAAATAGGTTTGTGCCCTGTGGAATTTTACTAAAAAAAAAAAGAAGAAGAAGAAAAAAGAAAGAGAGAAAAAAGAAAAAGCTGTGGTGGGCCCATAAAAATGTGATGGGCTGCACACATGCAAGTCTGATGTAAAACAACCAGAGGCAGAAAGGCTAACATTACATAACAGAACGTTTGTTTTGTGTGAAGTCTTTTTAACATGCCTTTTGGCGTGATGACAAATAGAAGTTTATTATTAAAGTACACATATTAAATCATTTGGCGCCTTGGTTTTATTGTAACCCATTGGAGGGGAAAGTGCCATGTTTGACGGACACAGAGTCCTTCCCTGAATTCCCTTTTAATCAACTACAAGTCGAGCGCCTGACTCTGAACATCTCAGTTTAGGAGGAGTTTGTGACTCCTGCGGCTCACCTAGGACCTTTTACCAAAACGCTTTTCACAACGTGAGAGTTGGGCTGTTGTGCTGCTGAGAACTGCGAAGACTTTTTGACGTGCAAAGTCCAGTATCCTGGCAAAGCAAACACTTTCTAGGACATGAGCCAAACGAGCAGACAGTTATTTTGTGCCAAAATCTGGCCAGAGGATAGGAAATCATACACAGGCGACGTCGTGACCGCTGCCAGTATGGCGCAAAAAACTGAAGAAAGTCGCGTCTATTTCACCAAAATCCCGACTGGAAGCAGTGCCGGGAGTTTGGCAGAATCCGAGAATGCAAACCTGTACGGATCCGGAAACACTATTCCGCTAGCCTGTGACATGGAGAAACGCTGCTGCCAGACAGCTGCTGCTCCTCAGGAGGAGTTCAGCGCTGAGTGCCGAGTGGGCGACATTCGCTCCGTTTCTGCCTGCGCTACAATCTCAGAAACAGCCAGGGAGCTCTGCAAAGCTGTGTCCGTGTCTCTGGGTCTGACCATGGAGTCCGGTGACACGAGCGAGGTGCACGTTTCTCTTCCCCCGTGTGCCGCAAATGACCAAATGAGCGCAGAGTATTTATTCGGGGTGGAAGCCGTGCCTGCGAACTGTCCCGGAGCCCCGGCTTCTCTCTCCGAGTACAGGTGTCCCGAGCGAGATGAGCGCCCGCCACACGACCACAAGCAACAGGTGAAAATGTTCAAAAGTTCAGAGCCCGCGGCGGCTTTTCATCACCTCACTTCCACGGCGACATCTGTGAACGCGCAAAACTTCACGCTGTGCCAGGCTGATGACATAACTCCGAAAGAGATAGATCATCTGGACATAGCGTCCGCTGCCTCTTGCCCTTACGCCCCAGCTGCGCCGGAGCCTTTGGCACAGTTCGGCCCCGCGGCTGCACAGAGGCCGTGCGGAGCTTACAACTCCGTGGAGGAAGCGGGAGACGTCGGGGATGCCGGGGAGAATAGGTCCATGGGGGTTCAGGCAGAACGGTACGGCGTCAAAGTCAAATCTGAGGGAAGTGCATCTGCAGGGGCGTTGTGGGTCAGCAGGCCTAATTACAGCTTCGGCGACAAGTACAACTCGCAGTTTTGGGGGTCGAGGCAGTGCATGAACGTGCAGAGCTCGGGAGCGAACTCCCCGTTTATATGCAATCCATATGACGGGACCGTAATGCGCCGTGAACAGTGGTACCCTGGCGGGATGCTGAGGACGCCTTATCCCAACTCCAACTACATGAAGGGTGAAGTCGGCGAATGGCTGGATGTCACTTACAACGACACCAGGTGAGCTTTAGTCGGCTGGTAATAGTAATTTTACGTGATTACAATATAAATATGTATTTCATATTGCGGTATAACCAAAGGTTGAACAGTTCTAAGTGTAATTGCGAGCCAAAAGGTCTACTTTATATATATATATATTCAAAATCAGGACCACAGGTTGACCCTTTGTCCCTTAGGGGGCTGTGTGTGTGTGTGTGTGTGTGTGTCTGTGCGTGTCTGTGCGTGTGTGCGCGTATTTCTTTTTTCTTTGTTGTTGTTGTTCTTTTATTGATGCAGGAAACATTTACCCCACACTTGTTTTATAGTGGCAAACTGAACAGACTGTTTAAAAAAATTCCCTGCTGAGAAAATGTGTAGGCAGAAGTTTCAGGCTCCAATCTAGAAATACACCTGCTTCACATATTTGGCAATTTTACAATAACCCAGAGCTGCTGATTTTATACACTGTGTGAAAGTCTAATTTAAAAAAAAAAAAAAAAAAGACAATAATTGAAGTATGCCAAACTGATTATAGCTACAACAAAAAAAGGAGATCAAAGCGATACATGGAAACATTTTAACAACCCTTTTCCTCCAAACATTTGTAATGAATAAAGTTTGATTCTATTCTTAATCATTTTTTTTCTGAATAAAGTGAATGAGAGGAAAAAACAGTGAGATGTGTTGTATGTATTCAGATGATAGTGGATGTATTCATTTCATAAAGTCAGATGAGGACAGAGAATAAACTTGGAGAAAAAAGGGGAAAAACCACTGCTTGACTTTTTCTTCAAGTTTGTTTGTTCCTTGACTATTGTAAATATTAGTCCCCATGATTTTGAATGCTGACAAAAAAGATGAGGCAGTTTATAGACAAACATTTGTATTACCCAACAGTGACCTTGGTGGCTGCCATCTGTGTGCCTGAAAATAAGATTTAGTTGAACTTAATTTACCTGTGCCACTGGGTGATGTTTCACATCAGTTTGGCTCTAGCTAAGCATTCAAAGTTAGTGTGATAAAGAGCTGCAGACAGTCTTGTTTTAGCGAGAAGATTTCAATGTTTCTGTGGCACAAAAGTGGGAATAATTAACAACACAAGTTAACAAAAAAAAAACCCAAGCCACACGCACAGTTGGTGCTTTTGTAGTTTCAAATGTTTCTGAGTGTGTTAGGTTCTTAAAATCTCTCAACACATTTTAGTTCAGACTATTAAGTGCCCCAATGTAAAACAAAGCACCCAAAGTGGGCACGTTAACTGACAGCCATCGTGTGATGTGCATGCCACACAGAGGTGTTGTCTGCCGGTGTTGTGCAGAGCTTTCTCAAATTCACCTGGGTGAATGATTCTTAGTGCAGTCAGAAAAGGGACACTGTTTCCTTTGGCTGTTAGTGTTCAGTACCGCATAGCTGTCTACGTGGTGTGAAGTGAATTTCTGTACAAAGCTGCTGAGAGGAGGTGTAGCAGTGTGGTCTGCCTAATCTACTGAGCAGTCCACCCAAGAAGGTCATTTTGAAACCATGTTATATTTACCTATATATTTTTTAATCTATAAAAACATTTCCCAGAATTAACTTGTCAGTCTACTTCTTTAACTTTTCATACTTTCACCCAGGAACTGATCCCTGTGTGTAGAGAAGGGTAATGGAAAGTTTTATGGATTTTTTTCACTCAGACATTACTGGGTTTTAATTTTGTTCCACTTTCTTACTTCTAATGATTACATCATGTTGTATTATTGTGAAACATGGCTAACAAACCTAGAGTAGCAAGACTGACTGCCGAAGAAGCCTTGGAGCAGATACTTAATGCACAGTGAAAACAGCTCAGTTGATGTTGATGGGTTAGCTCAGGTTTAAAACAAAAATTTACGATACTAGAACATGTGTCGTAGATGGGAGTGTTCCTTGTGGGGAAATGATTGCGTTGTATTTTTAATAAACTCATTAAAAAAGGAATTCCTGTATAAAATGGAATAAAATGGGGTCATAGATGACCTCACTCGCTGATTCTAGGCACTAAAACAACTTGATTGCTCAAGGTTTAAACTGAAAAGACTCTCAGCCCTTGCATGCTTTACCTTCTGGCAGAAGATATGTATTATTTTAGTTTTATGGTAATTTGCCTTGACTGAATGTTTACCTGCAGCGGAGGCAGCGTGGAGTGGTGGGAAGGTTATTCTCTAAATGTAATTGGTTACAGATTATTATTTACCTTTTAAAAATGTAGCAAGGGTTTGCTTTATGAAAGCAGTGTCATCATTTGCTTTTTGATGACTTTTTACATAAATGATTTAGACTGAAACATCTTCTACAGGGTTTCCTCAGCTTTGATAGCCAGCATTTCATTGTTCATTGTATTTCACTGCTGGTAAACCGGCTTTATTCTGTACAGGGATGTTAGAGCCTTTATGATTTCAGAAAGGAAATATTGTTGAATTCTAGCACTGAAAGGCATTCTTGGCCACTGGCCTTGTTGAGGTCAGCTCGTTGCAGGCATGGCAGACTCAGGATGTTTAAAGCAATGTACATTGTTTGATTGACAGGCCTGAAATTGTGTAAATTCAAGCAGCAGAGTGAATCAAAACAACAAAAAGAAAGCATATGGCTGTTAGGACATGAATGTCAGATCTGGAAATTGCAGATCAGCGAGTGGAGATGCCTGAGGATTGTGTAGAGGTCTACGAAAAGAATTGGCTATACCTTCTCTTTTGATTTATCACCATAGTCAGTATTGTCTTTATATCACTGTGGTCTTAATTGTCAGTTTCTACTTTAGGTTGTGACTACCACACATGCGCGCACTCACACACACATATGCGCACGCACACACACGTGTGCACACACACACACACACACACACACACAGTACACCATGGTAACCTTCACCTAGTCTCCCTTATGTGCAATATTGCCAAGTGCAATTTTTCTTATGCAACATAGCATTATATTCTATTTTGTATAGTATGTTATTCTATTTTATCTTATTCTATTCTATTGTTTTTTCTTAATTTTTGATGGTCTTAACTTTGTACTGTCCGCTGTCTGCCGTGACCAAACAAATTTCCAACGTGTGAGACTAATAAAGGTTTATCTTATCTTAACATGACAAATCACTAAGAGATGAGTGCAGTGTTCTCAGGGCCACAGTGAGATTTGGCACTTATGTTTGGTGTAAGAAAAAAACAAGATGGCAGCAGTAAAAATGTTCAGCATGAGGCTTTAGAAATGGACGTCCACAAACCGATTTATGTTTCCTAATCCTATTTTTATATATAATCTATGGCACTTTCAAACGAATGGAGCTTGTCTAGATGTAAAGAGAGAGCTCTAAGGTGCAAACCTTCTTACACTTGATGCCACTGACCTCTGAGGGTATTGAATGGCGTTTTATGGGGAAGATTCCAAAAGTAGGCATTCCTGCATGGTGGCAAGATGCAAAGCACGAATCTGATCACAATGTAGATAGCAAGTTAGAGTAACACAAAACAGAAAATTAGAAAGTGAAAGCAGCTGATCTGTGACAGATCAGTAGGTCCTCACACTGGGTTCAGAGAGGTTATGCGGTTTATAGTTTAGACCATTTGGACACTGAGTGAGCGAGACATTGCATAATGTCTGAAGTCCTTTCAAAACCCTGCTTATACAGTTTTCCAAGTCAAGCTTGTCTTGTCTTTTTTATCTATCTATACACAACATAAACACGATTCAAGACTTAAGGTACAGGATGTTTTGTACAATTGCACCACTACAAAGACTGGGAGATGTTTGAGGAGCAATGAATGGAACACTTTTGGATATTAAAAAAATTAAAAAGTAGGAAAGAAAAGTTGAAATAAATAAATAACATAGTCAGTTGTAAACACATTCAGCCATTGTTTAGCAACCAAAGCAATGATCTGCTGTTCATTTGCAAAAAGCTGATCTCTGCTGAACTCTTTTTCCTGTCACCACATTGCTAAAATCTCTCTTATGCCGTGAGCGAGAGCCTGCTTTTTTTTTACCTTTTGTTGCTGCTTCTTAGATTTGGTTTTAACAGAAAGATTTTGTGCCTTGCTATCATTTAGTTTGGAAAAAATGCATTGCAATAATTATGTGTATATGTTGCAGTTACACCTGCTGTGAGTATGAGGAACATCTGTGCGGTTTTACTGCAAAGCAGAGCTGAGAAAACTCAGGCATGTTTTTATTTAGTTATTTAGCCAGGCAATTATGTAAAGTTGTAGTTTTGATTAAATTCTGGGACTACGCCTGATGGAAAGTCAAGACATTTTACCTATTATGAGAAAAAAAATAATTTTAACATAATGCTTTAATTTTTCAATTTGTAATTTAATAGCAGTTAAATACAGTTTAGTATTACCATGTGATATTTCTTGTTTACTGTACTTTGTTGTTAATCCTTCCAGAGTTCCAGTTTTAGACAAAGAGATTATTTATTGAAACTTTCACAGCATTACAAACTGCATTTTCAGCGCTGTGCATGCTGCAAACCTCAATGATTCGCAGCAGTTAAGTTTTTGGAAACAAACCCCCGGGGACATATATGGGCTCGGAAGTGTGACGACGGCGGCAGTCTGGTAGATATGCGAAGGATTCTGATTAAAATCTTAATAGGAGTAGTTTTGAGCAGCAATTTTCTAGAAAAATAACTTGTGATTGGTTGATACCCTGTGACATTAATTGGTAGTGCAGAAAACTAGCAACCAGCCAAGCTTTGAAGAATTTTACAAGACTGATAACAAAGAGCAGGAAATGGACACAGAATGTTTCTGTTTCGTCTGCGTGTGGAGTCAACCAAGAATGCAGAGTGGCAGCACAAATGGCAGCGAGAGGCTTGCATAGTACAGTAACTCAGTAAAGAAACCTACTCGGTGATTATTATTATTATACAGTACTTAAAGTAAATGTGATCTCTGTCAAATCAGGCCATAATACTTCATGCTCGACTAGCGTGTCTTGCATGTGAAGGATGAGCCATGACCACATAAATGAATGAAAACAGATTTTTACCAATCTATTTAGTTCCATCCCGCAACACTATATACAAAAACAAGCTGAACTGACTATGACCAAATAGCAACCATCTTAAACATTTTACTCGATTGTGTCTGATCAAGCATGGAGGTGGCTGTTGCAGGACAATTTTTGCTAATTATTGCAACAGAAAAAGTCTCATTTAACCTGTGAAAGTTATCTATTTGTACTTTTACGTTGTAGCAAAATACTACCTTGAGGTATATGCTTCAAGGTAAAGAGTAAACCTGAATAATGTTCATTTTGGAAATATTTAAATGGTCACTGTACCAATTATATTCAAATGTAATTATTCAGAAGATGACATCAGAGTGTTTAAAATGTCAAATGCTGAAGGCTAAGTGTGTATGTTTTTAAAGTCTGAGGTTTGTTTTTTGTATTTTAAAATTGCAATAAAGGTCAAATAAAACCATATAGCATGCAGTCAGACACACAAATGCCACACTCCGCTGTGGTGTGTGAGTGAGCATATGACTGACACACAACAATAACCCCATGTGATGTAAAAGTTTATATCAGGCATATTTACATGTATCTATTTTTCATCCTTTTGCTGAATTTTGCTCTATCTAAAGTAATTATTTTAATGGGACTGCCTGATTAGGTGGAAATGTCTAATAAGTGTTTATAACATAAGTGTTTATAACAATTTCTCTTTGGACTACATCGTCCGGCCTGCATGTTAACACGATCCAGGTGATTGGCACGATAGCTTAGGAATTTTTCAAACTTGAATCTTTTGTCATTAACTGTGCCCTAAAGCACCCGGCATCCTAAAACCGTATGTAAACACATAAGTTAAAACGTGAGTAAGTGAGCGCCACACAGGTCAGCACATTTTCAAGGATTCACACAAATCCACAGAGTAAGTAACTAGAGTAACTTTATACTAGATAAAAAACGTGCTCCCCATCAGGCTTTATTCAGGAACAAATAAAGTCAGTCTCCCTGTTAAAAAAAAAAAAGAAACATGCGTATTGCACATGTTCTACCAGTGAACCAATCTTGCTAGCTTCCTGTTTTCAATAAAAGAGTTAAATGTGGTTAGCCCAGATAATTTGCCTATTACAGTGTCTTTAAGTACAGCAAAAAGCTGCATCAGTAAGTTATTTTCAAAAAAGGAAAGTACCACATGCCTTAGGATATACACAATCATGCACAATAGGACACCACATTTTGGCTGGCTGGGTTAAGAGAAAATTGTCACCTTCTCTGTTAACACATTATGTGCAAATCTGATCAGTTCAAGCTCTCATCTGTCAGTTGGGATTATTAGCGGCCTCTTTTGTTCTGTGTGCCGAGCATTGGCATATTGACATGCATATTTTTCACATTTATCATCAGCAGATCCTGGGCTACAAAAGAATACTAGGTTGCTCTGTATAATCTCAACTCTCATTGATCAAACTGTCATCTTTTAATCACAACCCAGCCGGACCTACGCATTGAAGAAATCGAATTAGACTTTGTGTGTTAGTGTAAAGCATTAAATAAATGTGAAGCTTTGAACAAAAGGGCCCTTCTTTAAAACACTTAAGTCTACTGTAACAGAGCTCATATAAAAATGAATTCAAATTAGATTTGCTGCTTATTATTATAAAGTTGTCAAAGCCCAGATGCATACGTGTCATGCTTGAGTTTTCCCATTCTGATGGAATATTTTATTTATTCTTAAAATCAGTCAGGACACAGTGAGGCTCTACACCGAACCTTGATATCTGATAGCACGTCACCGAGGCAGCATTGTGTCTGAGTTGTCTCCAATCTCTCTGTGTTCAAGGTTGCAGCTCACTCAACTCACCCCAGCCCCCCTCCGTACCATAGCCACGGTGCTTCAGTCTTTCCCACACTTTCATCATCGGCCTGTCCTCTTTTTTATAACTACCTACCTAATTACTAGAGTTTACCATGGGTCTAGGGTATGAGTGAATGAGCTCACTTGTGGTATAGTAAAAATGGTTTATGATTTACAAATGGCTTGTTTTGGGGGTGGTGGTTTGTGTTTGACTGCAGGTTTGAGTCCAGTAGAGAACACATGTTTCCCATGGAGTTCTTCTTTCCCCCACAGAGGACATGCCTCATCTGCTCGGACGAGGCATCTGGCTGCCATTACGGCGCACTCACCTGTGGCAGCTGCAAGGTTTTCTTCAAAAGGGCTGCCGAAGGTAAAGCTTAAAGCATCCAACTGGGCTGTGAGTTTTATGCCAGCCCACTTGAGATTCTAGCTCCTTATTCTACACATTAACAGTTCCTAAAGAGTTTTGTGTTTGCCCATGGTTGTCTTCAGTTTAAGTGATTTACATTTTTTTTTTTACATTTCTCCTGTAGGCAAGCAGAAATACCTGTGTGCCAGCAAGAATGACTGCACTATTGATAAGCTAAGAAGAAAGAACTGCCCCTCCTGTCGCCTGAAGAAGTGCTTTGAAGCTGGGATGGCTCTTGGAGGTGGGATGGATTTTTGCAAAGAAGCAGCTAATACTTGTTGAGTTGATGCTATACATATATATATAT